TTATTATTGTTTAAAGTTTTAAAAAAATTTACTTAGAAAAAATTTGCTTGATTTCTATTGACTCAACCCCATATGTATATGTGAATTTATGTATATTTTATTCGTTATTCTTATAATTAACTTGATTTCAATACTTCACTTTATTTCAGGCGCTTGCGTTATTTTATATTTCTTCAAGTGGGTAGAATCCCCATTAGGTGGCAATGGTGGGCTCTCTTGGGTTAATGATCATATTGAAGCTTTTATTAATATTGGTGGCCCTTTGTTGGGTGTGCCAAAAGCTTTGTCTGCATTACTTTCAGGTATTGTTCCTTTAAATATTCAAAATAAATAACTTTTCCTACGTGAAGTCTGGCTTATTAAATATTATGATTTTAGGTGAAATGCGTGATACCGTAGAATTAGGTGCTTTTGGAATTTATGTTCTTGAACGTTTTTTCTCTAAACGTGAACGATCGGAACTTTTTCGCACTTGGGGTGGACTTTCCTCTATGCTACCAAAGGGTGGTGCTGCGATATGGGGCAACACGACTCATGCTCCTGACGACCGTGAGAAAGCGATGAATACTTTTGGTTCCTTGTTAACCTTACGTTCCTTTATTCATAACAAGTTAGATAATAATGATACCAATCAAACCGCAGCTGAAATAATTTATAAGCACACAAGTACTACTGGTATAAATTTTTTACAACAAAATACGGACTCATTTTATAATAAAATGTTGTCCAATAATTATAGTTTTGGAATGGCTACTTCTGAAGATGAAATTTCCGATGATATGAAGGATCATACTAAATGGACAAATCCTCTTGAGTCACGATTACCTTACGCTCCTGAAATGAAAATTTATTGCTTATATGGTTGGGGAAAGGAAACCGAAAGATCATATTACTATTCACATGATTATACTGATGATTATACTGATTCGAATGAGAGTTCTAGCGAAGATACTTATAAGTTTTTAAACAGTCTTTTCATCGATAGTTCATTCAATTCTGATCATGATCCAAATATAAAAAGCGGTGTACATAATGGTGAAGGGTAATTACTCATAGCATATATAATCATCATTTTTTGGCCATTCGATTAAAATTCTTACCAAACCCTTTGATTATATATAATAGAGACGGTACTGTACCACTACTATCACTAGGATTTATGTGCACTAAAGGATGGAAAAATCCGTTATATAATCCTGCTGGGATTAAAGTAATTACTCGCGAATTTGAACATGAGGTAGGACCAGGTCTAAATATTCGTGGTGGTGCAAAAACAGCAGATCATGTAGATATATTGGGAAATTATGCAATTACGGTAATATTTTTTATAACTATTTTTTGCAATTTATTTTTTTATGATATCCATTTAAGCATATACCAAATCCCTCATTAATTATAAAGGAGGACATTTTGCGTATTGCGTCTGGACACACTGAACAACTCAAAGACAGGATCACTTCTAATATTTTAGAATATGCCGCCAGGGTTGATATCTAGTAAATTATAACTTATAAAGACATTTGCAGTTTTCATATTACCTATTAAGAATTTAGAGATATTTCTAATTTTAAATTAATAGCATAAGTTATTACATGGTCACATGTTTAAAATAAATTATTGTCGCGGCTGATGCTGGAAACGGCTGATGCTGGAAATTTTAATTATTTTAATATGAAATTTTTAAAAAATTTTAGGGCCTTTTGTTAGGGGTTTTTTTTTAGGGTTAGGTTAGGGTTTAGGGTTAGTTTTAATAATAAAAGAGTATAAGTGGATTTTGGTAGGACGTATTTTTTTAAATCAGCTTATCTGATTTCCAGCTTCAGCCATTTCCAGCTTCAGCCGCGACAATTATTACGTACTGTACGTACGTAACTGGCAACAAATGTTCTTGTACAATTAATGACCAATTTACGTACTAACAATATTTGATTTAATCTTTGTTTATTTATACATTCAAAATTTTACTATACTGTATTTATTAACGTTAATTGATAAAGTTACATTTTCGAAGATTTTACCCAAAAATCTTACGATGTTTCATAAAACAACATTACTAAATTTCCTATCTACATACGTACTAATTATTATTCGGCATAATGAAAAAACATTTTTGCGTTAAGTGCGACTTGTCCAAATATGTGCAACAAGTTTGTCTTTAACTATTTGATGGCTTTTTTTAGCTTGCATATTTTTGGCTTGAAAAGGTGATCAAAAAGATGCACCAGTGAGAGAGCTTTTGAAAGAGGTTTTGCTCAAACATGTAGATCATTCATTCTATTTATTAATAAAACTAACGTTTCATCATGCACCATATTATCATAACGAAGAGATCATTAATACAAAACTACGTATAAATGTCAGCAGCTATTATCATTAGATGTGGCTTCAAAAATAATCACTAATATATCGAACATATTCTGCCTACTTTTATTAAAATTTTTGATATATATCTATTTATCGAGATTTCCTATCTTTGTCAATTTCTATGTGTTTCAAAACTATACGTATACGTATTTAAGAATTTATATTATCGTATATAGTATGTAAAATCATAATAAATGTGTAATCTTTCAAAACCAATACTAAGAAAAATTTTTAAAGTTACTCTACTTTTGTAGTATGAGATGTAAATTTTGCATCACTTGCATCAAGTAATAATTTTACAGTTTGTACGAATTTTTATCAATGCTGCTGATAAGAGAAAATAAGACTTCTATATTAGATATTTAAAACTGCGACTTAAGTTGCTACTTTAGATATTTGAAGTTGCTATTTCAAATATCTCAAGTTGGAATTTATATAAAATAACAACTTTGGAGATCTAAAATTGCAACTTCAGATATTTAAAATGGCAATTTTAAATATATAAAATGCAACTTCAGATATCTAAAGTAACAACTTCAGATATCTAAAATAGCAACTTTAGATATCTAAAGTTACTATTTCAGTAATTTTAACAACTTCAAATATTTGAAAATAGTAACTCTCAATATCTAAAGTTGTTATTTCAGTTAAAGTAACCATTTCAGATATTTAAAATAGTAACTTCAATATCTCTAAAGTAATATTTCAAAATATCTAAAGTAGCAACTTCAAATATCTAAAGTGGCAACTTTAAAAATAGTTTATATTTTACATTCGGTGTTTGACCCGAAATTGATATGTGAAATTATTATGATAAACTCACTTTCGACAAATTGGCTTCGTTTGTGCCTCACACGTAGCTGTTGCCAATAACAGGCATTTAAAGTCAGGCGGGACGGATCTGAGGGCCAGGCCTAAACTTGTACCCGCTTGACTTTAAAAGTTTGCTACTGGAAACAGGTACAAACGAAACCAATTTGTTGAAATTGCGTTTATCATAACGTATTTTCGCGGAATAAGCTCGTCTACGCGTTGTTTTGAGTATATGCGCGTTGTTTTACATAAGTACGCGCATGGGCGTTATTTGAGACAAAAGTAAAAATTTTAAGCAACTTGCATAAAAAGTAAGCAAACAAAAAATGTTCCGGAGCTAGGTTGATACTAAGTAAACCTAGTTCCGGTGCATTTTTTTTGTAAATAAGCACCCCTTACTATAAGATGCGCGTTATTTCGGGACGCGCATGAGCGTTATTCTGAAGCTATATGTTATTTTTAGGGGTGCAATTTTCGAAACAATGCTTATGAGCGTTATTCCGCGAAAATACGGTACTCATTCTTTTGTCTAAAGTTGCAACTTCAGATAGTGCTAAATTATTTTAGATATTTGAAGTTGCAACTCCAGATAGAAGACTATTTCAGATACGACATACAAACTTATTATTGAGCCTACTAACGAGATGCAAGTTATATAGTGAAGGTCACTAATCAATTTTTTTTCTCCGAATTTTCCTATTTCACTATTTCCTATTAAATTATTTATTATTAAAAACGTTAAATTTTACATATGGTTAGGATTTCATACCCAATTTATATGTAATATGAGAGATAATTTGGTTTTAGGAGAGTCATACTGGTATTTCATATAAGTTAAATATAAAGTTCTTACCATTATAATTTTTTATATTACCGGTAACATATGGGCTAGGTGCTGGAAAAAGGGCCGAAAATGACAATTTTTTCAAAAGCAATTTTTTTACATAAATCAATTTAAAATAAGATTAGAAACATTTTTCTCTTAAAACACAAAGGTAGTTATATTAATAAAATTTTGCAGTATAGCTCTTTAAAGTTTGCATTTTCTTATGATTTATTATAAGATTTATAACATAAAAATTTATTTTCCGAAGATCTTTTTTTTTGTTGATTTCGGCCCTTTTTCCAGCACCTAGCCCATATGTAAAATTTAACGTTTAATACTTTAGGAGAAATAAAAACTTTTGCGATATCACTTTTTTATAATAGAATAGTGATATTGGAAAATTCGGAAAGATCACTGTAAAAAAAAAAAAAATTGATTTCACTATGTAGCTTGGACCATGATTAAGCCGATATTAGATACCCAATGATTCAAGCTGTATTGATACGAAATGAATGGAGAAAGCATAAGATGTCTAAAGAAAACATCGATCCGGTCATGATAAGCGCACGCATATGAAAAACTTTAATATATAGTATTGTCACAAAAATAGACAAAATTAAAGTCGTAATTTTTTAAGCACCATAAATGGCCGTCCCCACAATAGTAGACCTTCTATGTACTATACCGGGTATGCATTGTGGAATCCACAATAACCAAATGCGGTTTTTTTTTTCTTTAAAATTTTCCTTTTAGCATACAAAAACCATGTATTATACCTAGGGATTGCACTATAGGTGCAGACATATGCCAGTGTCGTAATTGATCTTAACGTCAATTAGACGTAACTCGAAAATATGTCGGTACGTCAAAAAGCTATAACTAACGTTTGCCGTAGCATTTGACGTGTGCCATAATATTTGACGTGTGCGTAATATTTGACTTGTGCCGTAATAGTTGATGTGTGCTGCAAATTTTTGATTTATGTGTTGTAAATAGAAACAGAATTCGGAATTCTAGTATTTTAGGGTAGCGTTTGTCATATGTAAACCTGATAAATTTAACTAGAAAATTTTAGATTCTGTTTCCATGGCGTAACATTCAACATACGCTGTAATATTGCTTTAGCTGTAACAGTTTTACATTGTTTGATTTACATACCATTAATTACATACGTACGAATACAGTGCGGGACAGCTAAAGATATCCACTTGATAAAATGACAAAAAATAAATTATTAATCAATCAAAATTCTTAAATTATATATACGTGCCAAATTATTATTTTTTATTTTATTTTTATTTTAAACCTTCGCAATGTCGTGAGAAGGTGGATTTTTATTAGGTATTTAGATAATACATTCTTGGTTACCCTATCCTGTACTATCCACCACAATTATGCTACCCCATAACCTCGTGCTGCTTTATAACCTATAGCAGAAGTGTTCTCCAGCTGTTTTGTTCTTACCAGTTTTTCCTAACATTTTAACTATACTACAGGTCTAAACTGAAGATCACCCAGATCGACATCTGCTATACTACTTGTACTCTAATTCTATAGATAACCCAGTAGGGTTCTCATACTACCATAGTACATACCCCCCTAATCTTTCTATGTCTCACACACTTCCAGATTAGGCTACGAATACCTTCTGCAGCAGCCGAAACCACCACTAGCAGTCAGGACAAACCATTAAATTGCACAATTCCAGTATCCGGTGCCCTTGCAAGGTTCGTTCCAATCCCGATATCCACATCAAGCCGGCCCTTATATTGATTTCTCCTCAACTACCAAACCAGTTAGCCCGGACGGGTCGTTGTACCTAGGCTTTAAGTGCCTTCCGGTTTTACTTCTCTTGGTT